CCGCTCCGGGGACTTGTCTGGTCCGTGCCTGTGAGCTCCTGTCTCCTGACACGCCTGGGCACACTCACAGCAAACACCAGCCTGGATGGCCTCGCTGTGTCACCTGCTACAAGAAACTCCAGGACATCTTCCTTCTGGGGCTTGTGGCAGCCTCTGAATCTCGAGACATTTTGGTCTGCTTCAGCTGGAGCAGCCTGAGTTGGGGCGACGCTGGGGGACATGATGATGGCTGAACCCGTCGCATCCCCTGGCCATCTGGGTCTTCCTCTTCCCATGAGAGCTCCATTTCCTTTCATTAATTTCATTAATTCTCCCCTTTAACCTCAGTGAACTGCTTGGTGAGTAAAGAGACAACCTGGCTGTGGCTTTGTGCCCCCATCTCACTCACCCCACATCCCGCACAGAGAAAATTAATGGGAAAACAGAACGTGAGAGGTAGGAGGACGGGATGCGATCTCCCCATCGCAGCTCTCCAGGGCACGGCAAGAACCAAGGAGAGATTTCTGCCATGTGAGGCTGGAGTGAGTGGCAGCAGAGCCACATCCCCTCTGCCACATGCTCTCAAGTCCTTGTCACCTGGCTGAGGGCAGGGGCTGCCAGCTGGCCCTACGCTTCTGCAAAAATTCACTTGCCCTTCTTTTTCTTTTTTTTTCCCCTTTTTTAATACGGCTGTTATTCACTGACTGGGGCCATGAAGATGTGCTCCTCAGAGCATCTCCTGCAGCAGGCACCGAGCAGCCCCCTGCCAGCCTCCCCTAACCCCACAGAGCCTCCTGCCCCCCATCTCCAGTGCTCAGCGCTGACCTTACCCCCTGCAAACCACAACTTTATTCTTTTCAGAGCCTCGGGGATGATTTTCTCTCACCCTCCACTAATGTGGATCCTACTGTCCAATTGTGCTGACCCAAGAAATATTTTTACTGAGGACTAACAGTGGGCTGCCCTACACCCCCTGTGCCCCCCAGCCTGCTGCTCCCACATCAGGCACACGCTGCCAGGGCTAGGTCTGACAGCACTGAAGGAAACAGCAAAATCTCTGCCCATTTTCCGCTTGGATCAGGTCCCTGGCCTGCCAGTCACAGCCTCAGACTTGCTTTTGGGTCTCTGCTAACTTTCCTCTAAAACGGCCCTCAGAAAAAGGCAATTATCACAGGGCCATTAAGGCTCTCCCCGTTGCACGGCCAGATAACTTGCTCGGAGTCTCTTGAAATAACCTTTAAACAATAGATCCTGTCTTGTTTGCTGAATGTTTCCGAGCTCAACGGTAATGCATCCAGATGTCAGCCGTGTCTCCTGTAGGCCTAACTATTTCTGGAAACACACCAAGGGCAAGTTGTTTGGGTAATGTCAGATATTGTTGCAGAGGGAACGTGACAAGTTCCCAGCCCTTCGATAAAAGCCGTGGAGCACGGAGAGGCTGCTTGGGGTGGCGGGGCTGGGGGCGCAGGGGTACAGCAGGACCCCAGCCCGTGTCCCTTCTCGTGCCTCGTCCCCTGCACGATGCTGGCTGGGTACCAGAAGCTGGGGAGAGCCTCAGCTTGGCAAGCTCAGGGCTGCACGCTTGGTGCCTGTCGCTGCAGGTGGCTTTGGTCCTGGAGGTAAGAAATGGGAGAGAAGCACTGGAGAGAGTCAGGAGGGGCTGAGCCACCCGGGTGGCAAATTTGGGAAGCAAGCCTCAGCTCATCCCGTGCCGTTATTGGGAATGAATCTGAGCACCAGCCCTGACCCACTGCAGGTGCTTGCTGCAAAAACCCTGCCTGAAGTGAGGCAAAACCAAACCCAGCCCCTGACTCATCGCTGGCCTCCACCCCACAGCCCCCACGAGCACACGGCCAGGGAGGTGCCAGCAGCTCCCCTCCATGAGAAATCCCAACCCACGGCCACGAGGGACGGGCTGACATCAGCTGTGCTGGGACTGCCAAGCCCCAAACTCTTTGTGCAAACACAAAATGAGCTGGAAGCCACGGGGGCTGAGCTGCCTGTGCCCAGCAGTGGCTTTGTCACCTCGTTTCCGCACTGGCCTTCCCACGGATATCTTTACCAGCAGCAGCATCACCCGGGAACGCATGACTTGGTCTCTGCAGAGCCAGCCCTTATGATTTTGGCCTGATTCAGCCCCATTCCTCGTCCCCCCACACTGCCTCTGGCAGACACCTGATGAAATGCTTCATCCGCAGGAGCTGGGTCCTCCCGCTGGGGCCCTGACCTGCTGCTACCAGCTCCTGGCTCACATCGAGCTGTCCGAGGACACTTCAAAACCTTATTACGACTTTTCACTTTTCCAACCTTTTCTCCCCTCCAACCTTTCCAGCTGACCTCTGTGCAGCGCTGTTCCGGCAGGGCTCAGAGGGTGCTGAGCTCCCAGCCTCATCTGGATTGATCCCAGCTGTGATCCAAAGGCAGCTGGGACTTCTGGAGCAGGTCAGAGGCCATCACCCGGCGTATTTTTAGTCCCTCTGCCAAGCTGTGGTGCTAGAACATACGCTTTTTTTCTCAGGCAAAGGGTGAGCAAATCCTGCCTGCTGCAATAAATTAGCTCACGAGGAGAGAAGGAGACAGACAACATGGGGAGAAGTGTAAATTAGAACGGGAACGAATTGCAAGTTCAAGCCTAGCACCTGCCACCTCTCCTCCATCCCTCCCCTGCTCTTCTCCAGGGCTGTCACATCACAGCCGTGCCCGCGGGAGCCCTGCCAGCGGCACGCACCTCTTTGCTGGCCATGTCCTAATCCATATCCATGACAACACGGCGGCCAGGTACCCAAATCTGATGGGCAGGAAGGTTGTTACTGTTCCTTATACCGCCGCTAACACAGCTGGGCACCGCACAGCCAAATGGGAAGCTCCCAGGTAGGTGAACACTTTGCAGCTGCGAAAATCCCCACTGAACCCCAGGCAGAGCACTGAGGATGAGTCCTGCTGAGCCCGAGGACCAGTGTCAGAAGTTTCTTTGCCAGCCAAGCTCCCTGGGCTGTGCAAAAATGCCCCAGGGCGTCCCGCAGGTCCCTGTTACTTCTGAACGTGTTCTGTGGTGGCAGAGCCCCTGTGGCCAAAGCTGCAGGCTCAGCTCTCGTGCCACCTACGTGAGGGTTTTGCCACAGCTGGACCTGTCCACCAGGCTTTGCTGAAAGCAAACAGGAGCGTGGCGGAGCTGCAGTCAGTAAACACGGCGCTGGGCACGGTCTGCATCCTTGGTGCGCAGGTAGGCACGCGCAGGGGAGAGCCACCTGCATTAGCAATCTGCATTACTGATGGAAAACAGGAACAAGCCCAGGGATGATGTTTCCTTCCTTTCCCCTCACATCCACTCATCTTTCGTAAGCAAACCCCAATGTACTGAAGGGTGATAAATCACCGTCAGTCCCCCCAGGGGGGATTTTGTTGAATTTCTTTATCTCCCTTGAGCACCAGCACTGTTCCCTAAGACTTCTTGTCACCGTGCTGCACAGGAACGCTGACATGCAGAGGAAGGAGGTTACGGTTTAATTACAGCTGCACGCTCTTTAAGGTGTTTAAAATCTCTTTTCACCGACTGACAGCCGTAATGTATCTTTCTGCTAATTTCAGCTGAGAAGAAAAACAGCCATAAAAGGCTGCAAACAAGCCTCCGTTCCTCACATGCCATCGCAACGGGGCAAGCACCTAAAGACAGCTGTGTGGCTAGCTCAGGCACATGCTTTCTGCACAATTTACATAAACTCTTTTCCCTTAACAGCATTATAATTTAGATGCTTACTCAGGGAGGACATAAGACGCGAGGACTAAAACCCAATCACGCCGGGCACTGCTGCTCAAATGGGGTCACCGAGGAGCACTGCCTGCACCCCGAGCATCGGGATGCCAGCCGGGTCTCCCTGAATGACAGCCATCCATCATGGAAGACCCGAGCGCACGGCTTCACCACCTAGGTTTTATGCTGATTTCACCGCTCGTTTCAGGCTGGAAGACAATCTGTTGAACCTCCAAGTGCAGTCTTCTCTTACCTTTAATTTATTCTGTCAGAAAACTGTCTACCTTAATGAGTACGAGCACACCCCCACTGCCTTCCAAGTTGGGTGATCTGTTATGTCAAATATAAATAATCCTGTCTGAAACCACTCGATACGGGGAAATGAAAAGCCATCTTCCCTCGGGGGATTTCTCTCCCACGCAGCCCCCCCATCCTGCAGAGCGAACGACGGCCATGTGCTTCCGCGAGCTCAGCCCCAGCCAGCTGCTGTCTTACCCAAACCCCGCTACGAGCAGCCCCCAGATAATTTTGCCATCCCCTTCCTTGCATCTCTTCGCTGTGCGTGAGCTCGGGGGGCTGCTCTGCTGCTTAACCGGGGGTGATCACAAACTCAGCTGGGTGCCAGGGGGTTCCTGTGTCCTTCAGAGCCAGGATGCTGGACAGGAATGATCCCTCATCCTGGCTGCCTGGCTGTGTGTGAGATGCCCAGAGGGGGTACCCAGAGAGGCCAGATTTGTCCCCACACCACGTGCAGGAAGGAGGGCGAGCTGTCCCCGGAGCGAAGGACACGACCTGAGCACCCAGCCAGGGCACGGCGTGGGGGCATCTCCCCCCCCCAGCCCTGAGAGAGGCTTTCATGTCCTTCTCCAGAGCTGAGGCTTGGAGGCTGGTGATGCTGTAGGAACCAGCAGCACTGATTCTGGAGCACCCCGGTGTTTTTCATCCTGCTCTAAGGCGGTCGGGTTTGACTGGCCCCACAGAGACGGGCTCTGGGAGAGCGGGTGCTGTGCAATACTCAGCCCCTCTCCAAATCCCCTCGTCCTCTGTCTGCTCTCCTTGTGGGCATCCCCCAGGGCTGGGGGGCTAGCTGTTGGGGTCCCACAGCCCCAGTCCCACCCCAGTTTAACCAGCAAACCAGTTCAGGATGCACCGGGAAGAGGAAAGGGGGAGAAGAGGAGGAAACAGAGGGAAAAAAGGGAAGACCCCCCTCCGCGGCAAAGGATGGGGCAGGGTGCCAGCCCCTCTCTGCCACCCTCCCGCACCCCATTACCTTCGCTCGGGGGGAATCGTGCCGGATCTCTCAGGTGAGGACCGCGTCTCCCGAAGTCTCGGAGCGCATCAACGCGGGGACGAAACCAAGAAAGAGTTAAAAATTAAAAAAAAATAATAAATAAATAAAATAAAATAAATAAAGACACTGAGAGAAAAATCAAAACCGAGACAAAATAAGGAGAAAATAAAGCCAGGCCGAGGCCAGCTCGGGGTGCGGAGCGGAGGAGCGGGCGGCGGGCACCCTCTCGGCACACGGCCGGTGCCGGCAGCCGCGGCGGTGCGGGGGGGGCCGGGGGGGTGGGAGCCGCTCCCTCCCCGCCGGGGCCGCCAATGAGGGCGGTGCGGAGCAGCGCTGCGCCCCCCCAGCCCCGGCAGCACGGAGCGAGCCGGCGGGGTCCCCCCCCCTCCTTTCTTCTCCTCCATCCTCCCCCCTCGCCATCCCCGCCCTCCGCAAGCCGCTGGCGAGCGGGAGGTGCTGGGGGGGGTCCCCCCAGGTCTCCCCCATCCATCCTGTGCTGTGGAGCACAGATTGATGGAGACACCCCCCCCCCGTATCCCCCTCCTTCGGCCCCAATGAATCGGGACCTCCCCCCCCCCCCCCTTCATGGGGTCCGGTTGTCCCTGCGTGGAGCCTGGGAGGGGTTTGGCCCTGGTGCCTTCATCCCCAGTGCAGGGAAAGCATCCTCCCCCTGCAAGGGGGTGTGTGTGGTGGGAAAGGAGTGACCCCCACCGTATGTCCTGGTTAACCTCACAAGAGTGACCCCCACCGTATGCCCCGTTTAGCCCAACAAGCATCCCAAGGCTTTTTACACGTTACGTGGCTCTGTCCCGTGTGCCATTCACCAGGGACCGTGCTGAGATTTTTGCCCCCTAGTTTTGGCAGCATCTCTCCGTGTCCCTTCCAGCACCACCTCAGCTACTTTAGAAATCCTCGCCCGCGGCTGTCTTTGAAGGTGTTGGCCCCGTACATGGCGCGTCCAGCAGCAGCAGGGTGACCCACGGGATTTCATCAGTGTCGGGGTGGTTATCACAGAGTGCTTGAGGTGGAAAGGGAAAAGGTTTTTGTGACCTAGAGCTGAAGGGAGAAGCACTGGGGAGCAGAACTTGGGCGAAAACCTGCCGATTTGAGTCGCTGTTACCCCTCAAGCAGATGGGAACCCCCAGAGCCCCCAGCACTGAAACCACTGTCCCCTGTCCCCAGGCTGCTGTGACCAGGGAGCACAAACTGCCCCGGCTCTCCCCCTGCCTTCCCCCTTTGGAGCCGAGCAGTGCCCTCGCTCCCCTGGGCACACCTCAGGAGGCTGTGACAGCCCTGCTGAGCTGCACTCTGTGCCATCAGCCTGGGCTGCTGTCCCCATGCTGTACGAAAGCTGCTGGGCTCCTGTGTTGGGCAGGGACCCTTTTTAGGGTCCAGCCTCCTTGTGATAACTCTGGGAGATGAGCGCAGCCATCCCGGAGCACCTCTGCCTATAGGGCCACGTGGCTTTCATCTTGCAGCTCTCATTTCCCTGGCCTTAACTTGTGCCTGTGGTCCCAAAGTTATTCCTAATGGCAAACTTCATTTTTCTCTTCTGTTTGAGCCCATTGACACTCGTTCTGTCCTTCTTGACTGATGGGAACAATCAGTCCCCGGTCCTTTTATAGCGCATCTGCTCTCCTTGAGATGCTATCGCTTATAGCACTCTTTTAATCTATGGAGAGGGAAACAGTTGCATTAAATTAATTGCTCCCTAAATAAACTAATTACTGCCAGTAATTTCAGCACACTTTGCACGCAGTTCAGACGCCTGTGCAGGGAGCTGAAACACAAGCCATCCAGTCTGACAGCCAGAAACGAAAGCAAGGGGACAAAACGTAGGTTATCTTCAGAGGGTCTACTTCAGGCTATTATTGTTTAATTATCATAGGCTGTATTGATTAGTGCTGAACCGTCTGCACCACGGTTCCTTTTCAGCTTTGCTTCAAGGTTGCTTGGACTACGTGCAGACCATGCTGAAAAGCTATGCCAAGAAAAAACAATTCTAGCTTTTTATTACTTTTATGGGTCAAACGTCATTGTCTAGCAATTTATCTTTGTATTTTCGTTCAGAAATATGAAAGATAGAGGTTCTTTGTTTGGGCCATTCATTTCGGTTTCTGCGGCTGTATTCCTGTATTGGAACAAACAGCCTCCTTTCTTCCCAAGCTGCCTTTTTAATGAATATGTCAAAGCAATTCTTCTCCAGTCTGAACCCAGGACAGGAGCAAAGAAAACCAATGTTATAACAAGGACTTAGCAAATACTTGCACTGCCTTAAGCCAGTACAGATCTTATTTTGTGGATCTCTAACACGAGATCCAGTTACTCTAAAATCAATTCTGTGAAGATCAGGTACCGAACCTCTGGAGCAGACCAAGGCTTTTATGAGGAGGACACCGAGGTTTTTATGGTGTTTTGGTACTGTTGCGGTTGCAAGACGTCTGTTGTGAGCAGGGTCTTGTTGTGCGAGGGGCTGAACAAGCACCCAGACTTTGCAACGTGCGTTTTTACAGGAGGAAAGCGCTAATTAGCCTTGAGAGCTGGCCACTGGCCAGCCACAACTTCTAGCAGCCCTCCTTGCCGGTTGGGAAGTGTCCTGTGCCTGCCAAGTCTGCGGGATAAACAACAGCAGCCAGGAGCCAAATCGTTTGTAGGTTTTAAGTTCAGGTGTTCGGGCTGTAATCAGCTGCCACCGGTGGGTTGTGCACGGTGCAAGTCCCTCGGGGAGTTCATGCAGCCAAGCTGCCCTCCTGCACCCACCAGTTCTTGTTTCCTGCCACCTGCCTCAGGACTTGGGATCAAAGCGCATGGGAATTTCCCCTAATTCACCACCCAAGTCCATTTTCTAGGCTTTTTCCCCTCCTCCAGATCGCTCCTTCCCTAGTGGAGCAGCAGCTTCACCTGGTTATCGTGGAACAGGTGGCATCTTCCCATTGAGACCCCATTTGACCCATGGCTTACGTGGCCACAAACCACAGCCGAATCTGGCTGCAGCTGGGAGCAATTCCCAGCTTTCTGTGTGCATTTCCAGTGCTCCACCAGCTTTGCTCCCACGGCAGCTCAGCAGGGACAACAGTTTCTAGGTTCAAGCCTGAGAACCTTTCTCCCCCTGCTTTTACCACGTACAGTATAGGAACCCCTGGCTCATAAGCACAGCCCTAAGAGCTGGCCAGAGCCAAGACCTTGCCTGCTGTCCCTATTGCATCTCTTTTCTGATCCCTTTGAGGGGAATGAAGCTTCTCAAATAAGTACATTTAATCAGGACGGATGAGTTCCCACGTCCCCAAGCCAGCTGCTTCGCTCCTGTGGTGTTGGGCACCCCCAGCCTGTGCCCAACATCAAATCCTGAGGTTTGTGGGGTGCAGCAGCCTCAGCGTGGGGCAGGCACATGGTGCTGCATCGCACCCACCAGCTCTCACTGTGACACACGAGGCTGGCACTGCGATGTGCTCCTCCACAGCCACTGCTTCAGCTGCAAGGGACAGCGAAAGGAAGGGCGTGGAGAGGCAGAGGGCTGGATTTCAGGATGCCCACCACAAACTCCATCATGTTTTTCTCATTTCTTATTCAACCCTTTTAAGGCTGCCGAGCGTATGGCAAGTGCTCCCCATACATAAGCCATGTTGAGTTCTCTGGTGCAAATCATATTCATCCACCACCCTTTATTGTACCTTCTGCTAACTCGTCTGTTACAGACATCAATATGCAGGGCAGACCTACCCGCAGCCTTTGTCATTCAATGCACCGACCCTTCTGCTGAGCTGCTAAAGCTCCATCTTCAAGGTCCTCAGGCTTTTTTGGCCCTATGAATTGGCTCCTCTTGATGCTGAGGCTGGCTAGCTGTGCAACCTTCAGGAAGCAGCTTCGTGCCAGACGGCAGTGGCTGGAGGAAAAGCAACAAGAAAGGCTGGCAGCAGGGAGCAGAGCCCGGCACAGAAGGGCTTGGCACCAACCCACCCCCCCCCCCAAAAAAAAAAAAAAGCACCTGGCAGAAAGCCCTTCCCCTGGAGCTGTGCCCGTGGTGAGTTCAGCTCCTTTTGCTCCTGTTCCCAACCAGCTCAAAGAAAACTGCTCCAGAGATGCACGGGGTCACCGCAGGAATATTAAGACAAGTGCTGCAAAACGAAGGCTGACAGGTACTGCAGAAGGGCCACGCAGGACATGGCGTGTCTGACAAACAAACACAGTTGTTTTCTTTCTTTTTTTTTTTTTTAAAGGATAAAGCAAATCCTGCCGAGTTTGGTATTCACCTCCACATACCCGATAATGAAGCGTGGCAAGGTGTCTGCTCAGACACACACAGAGAGCCACAGAGAGGAGACAAGTGGAGAGTGAGCATCCCATGGAGAAGGGCGTTGTAAGCCCCAAGGGGGCTGCAGCACTGTGGGCTGGGGATGTCACCCACAGGGGACCAGGGGAGACGGGAAGAGGAAGCCACTGACCCAGATTGGGAGCTTGGGGTAGCAGCCACAAGGGCAATAGGGGGGCTGGGGTGAGCTCCCTAGCAGAAGGAGCCTACAGCGGGGCTTATCCTGCCTCGAGCATCCTCAGCAGGGACACGTGAATCTGTGCTACAATGCGTGGAGCTGGTTATTGCAAAGCCACTTTATTTATGGTGTTTTTATTGGCAGGGGAGTGGGAGTGCAATACAATTTTAGCCACTGATGTCTCCATCTCCCTTACATTCCACCTCCATTTCCAGAGACATTTTTTTTCCTTGAATTACACGATTCCTCCAACGGTCCAAGGGACTCTCTGTACCTGAGACGGCGCAGGATGAGCTGGGCAGTCCTGCTGAGCTGGGCTGGGTGTGGGCAGCTCTGGCAGAGCAGAAGACTGCACATCTCCACCACCATCACTCCTGCTCCCCACCAGGGCCAAGATCTGCTGGGATGTGCCCGAGGAAGGGCCAATTCCCACCACGGTCTGCGGGGTGCACAGCTCCTGGGCACGAGCAGGCTCAGCAAACAGCCCAACCAGCTGCACCTCTCTGAGCAATTCAGAAAGATCCCATGGTAGACAAGAGGGAGCTGCTGAGTCCGAGATCACCAAGATGTCCCCTTGGTTGTGCTCCAGCTCCCAAACCTAGCCCAAATCTCTCCCACCTCCTGCTGGCACTACCCGCTGCATCACGCAACCCTTTATAAACAAGCCCGGAGCCCGCCTTTGTCTCTTCCTGTCCTTTCAGATATTTTGGGTGTCGGTGGCAATCTCTCCTGTTTATATAACAAAGCCACAGCCCAGTGTTTGTGGCACCATATCCATGGAAACCCTAATATAGCATGCACAGGCAAGGAGGATTTCATTAGGTGGCTCGGCGGTGGCAGCTTTTGGGGGGGAGCAGTAGGGGAGGGATGTCTTTGGGATGCTGGGCTGTGCTGGGAAGGACCAGGCTGTCCACCTGGCCTCGGGCACCCATTGAGGCAGTGCCTCCCAGAGCCAATGATGCTCACTTTTGGCTAGCTTTGGCCTTTCACCTGCTCTTGCATCACCCCCGATGGTGCCTTGGGCTCGCCGCAGCCCACACGCCTGCCTTGCCAGCTGCAAAGAGCCACAGGTGCTGGATTGAGGGGAAAGGAGAGGCAGAAGAGACCCCAGTGGCTCAGGCTCCTAAATCAGGAGCAGGAGCAGCGGGGCTGAGCCACAGGGCAGCTGAGGTCCAGTTCTGTAACCCTGGTCTGGGGAGACCCCTCTGGTGGTGTGCGAGAGAGAAAATTTGGCCCTGAGGAAGACAAAAAAGAGAAACACCTTAGGAGGAAGCAAGAAGCTGGGAAGAGCAGAGGCTCTGCAAGGGTGCTGCTCTCATTTGCAGCTCTCACGGACAGCTTTCAGGGCAAACTCATGCGTGGTGTGGAGGGAACGCCTCTTCCCATCACCGCAGGTGGGTGCCACCTCCTCTGAGCATCCCAGCTTGACCAGAGGTCTGCAGGTTAAACAGCGACTGCCTCTGTTGGGAAATAACATGACAGGAGCCCAGGGGCATGGGGTGGGTCTGGCCAGAGTGGGGAATTGTTCACAGCATCCATCAGGGTCCCCAGGCCCTACCTGCCTGCATGAGCATCTCCCCTCCGTGCCAGACCTCTCCTCTCCCTCTGCAACCGCATCGGGTCCAGCCTGACTCAGAGGCTGCCTAACCTCATCAGCGCCGAGGAAATTGGATCAGGACAGTGGCGCAGGGCAGGATCTGGCCACGGACAGGGGCTGTGGCTGCCAGAGCCCCGGGGCACGGGATGCTGTGCGTGTGCTGCGCCCCGGCTCCGCGGGAGCAGACAGCAGCCGTCCCTCCGCGCCCCCCCCTTGCCTTAATCGAATTTGCATCCACGTTAGTGAGGCCAGGGATTATAGCTCGGAGGGGTGCTGCCTGCTTCAGCTCAGCGCATCAATTGTGTTTAAGCCTGCTTACCTGCACGCAAGGCTTGTGGGGTTCCTACGGCACCTAGCGTGGGGTCCGGGGGGTCACCCATAAAATACAGCCTTTCTCCGGGGGGCTGAGGGCACTCTGCGGGTGTCCTCTGTGCATCACGGTGCCCTTTAGCTCTTCTCTGCCAGGGGAAATTGGGCAGTCTATGCAGGAGCAGAGCATGGGAGCTCTGGGAGGGGCTAGCACCAGCGTGGTGGTGCTGGTGTCAGCTCTGGTGAGACTTTGCTGGCTCTGTGCCGTTTTCTCTGTGCTCTGCCCTGAGGCCAGAGGCTGGACCCACAGTCCCCCGGTGTCCCTCTCACCTGCCCCAAGCAGCTGGGGGGTCAGAGTGGGAAACTGGCACTGCTGCATCTCATCCAAGTCCTAAAATAAACCCAGGAGCAAGGGGAGGAAGGCTTGATCCTCGCTTCTCGCCTGGATTTATGAGCGGTGGCTTGGAGAAACTGAAGGGGGGAGAGAGATATACATATTTTTTTCTCCTCTTTAAGTAAATTCCCGCTGCTTATCTCCAAAGTTCAGCTGTTTTCAAGCTGCCCTGCCTGCCTTATGCTGTTCCGCTGCAAATTCCTTCTGTGCAGGAAAGCTCAGGAGCTCCACTTGCACATGCCAGCAACCTGGGGATTCATCTCTAATAGACGGAGGTAGAGCTCGTTAGCTAAGGACCCCCTCCTGCCCCCCGACGAGGATCATTTTCCTTCCTGCCACGCTGACAGCAGAGCTTCTTTCCCCTCGCAGTTTGGAAACAAAGCCAAGAGAGGAGGAGAAGCCGTGCTTGGAGGGTAGGAGCGCGGCAAGGCAAAAAAATCTGTTCTCAGGGCCTTTTGTCACGCAGCCAGCCGTCTGCCCGAGGAACCGGGGCTGGCAGCCGCGGGACACCCATCTGAGGCTGCCAGCCCCACATCTAGCCAGGACCAGGGATGCTGCCTCCTCCTGCAGGGTGCAGAGGGGCTGAGGGGTGCCACCGAGGAGGTGCAGCCCCTCGGCTGCTCCCCGCCTGCTGCAGCCTCCCCGGGGTGCTGCGGGGTGCGGTGCCACCTCCTGCAGGCACCGAGAGGCATCGGGGGAAGGAGCGTTATCCATTACCCTGGATAACCTCCGTGTCTCGGGACATGATGAGAACCCTCACCGAATGTAGGAGAGGTGCACACGTTGATGATTCATTACAACACCGGGCACCGAGCTCCATCCTTGCGTTACGCAGCGCTGGGGCACCAGCTCTGCCCGGTGACATTGCTGCAAGGACCGGGAGCAAAACCCGAGCTCCATGGGGACAGAGGGGACTCCGGGAGGCATCCAGGGGTGCTGCTTGTCACGGGAGCTGGCACAGAGAAAATGGGGCCACAAGCTCTGAGTGTAAACCAGGCAGGGTGCGTGTATCAGAGCTTGAGGCTGTTTTGTTCCAGTAAATGCAGAAAAGTTAATAGCCAAAAGAGAAAGCAGCAGGCTAAAGAAATGAGAATGGGGGGACAGTGGGGGACAAAATGGTGTCTTCAAACTGGAGCTGAAGTCCCAGATGCTTCAAAAGCAAAGGAATAACAAATATTTAATGCCTCCAAAGGTGCAGGCAGGCAGAGCCAGAGCGGGGCCACACAGAGCCGGCGACAGGCAGCAGCAGCAGGGCACAGCGCGGCCGTGCAGGGAGCAGCTTGCAAGAAAGCGGCACTTTGCAGCCACTAAGGATGATTTAAGAGCAAATAACATCAGCCCAGTCGAGTTCAATTGCTATTGATAATGTCCATGTGCAATTAGAGCCAATTAAGGGGAGGCAGAGAATGACAAGTGTTTGGCCAGGAGGTGGGGGGGGGGGGTGAGGGTCAATACCGCAATCCAATTTCCCCACAACCAAATGCAATTAAAGGGTATCGCTTACCCGGCTCGCCCAGGAGGGCCGGAGCATAAATGGCAAAAGCCAGGAGGGCGGCTGCCGTCCTGCCCAGCATGCAGACCTCCAGCAGCAAGAAGTGCCCCTGCCTCGGCTTCAAGCTGCGGGAGGTGGCGTCCGTGTACTTCACCATGGTCGCCGTCTTCTTGGTCATCCTGGTGGTCGCCCTGCAGGGCTCGGCGCCCCGCGGCACCTATTTTCCCTACAAGGTGCCCCTCGATCCCCAGGGGCTGCTCGAGCTCTCCTGGAACGTCAGCTACCCCGAGCAAGCCGTGTACTTCCAGATCCTCAGCAGGGAACTCAAATTCGGGCTCCTCTTCGGGATGTCGGACCGGGGAGAGTTTGAGAACGCGGACCTGGCCGTGCTCTGGAGCGATGGGCACAGCTCGTATTTTGGGGTGAGTTGCACGTGTTTTGTCACGGCTGCTTTTGGGGTTGCTGCGTAATGGGTGAATCTGGCCTGGTTTGCTGGGGCAGAGCTGGTCCAGAGCACGGCACGGGGCTGAGCGGGGCTGGACTGCTCCATGAAGGTGCTCCAAAAGGGCTGGGGGGGTTTCTGGTCCAGAGATATGTGCTGTGGGCTTGGTATGGGATCTGAAATCCAAAGAGAAAGGGATAAATGCAGTAACCCCGCTGCACTCATACGCAAGCGCTCCGACAGGTGGGTGCACAAAGAGCTCTGCTACACGCAGGCTGCATCCACAGCTCGGTTCGCCTGTGCGCTGCCCTCAGCCACATTAAAAATTAATTAAAAATTAACCACCGCTCTCATTCCTGACTTTGAGAAAGTGCAAAAGTTATCCGCCAGCCAGCCTGCTCCTGCCAGCATCAATGAGCCGCCTGCCGCTCACGTCTGCGGCCACAGACAGCAAAACTCAACAGCACAGAGGAAAACCCAGCCCGACGGCCGCCTGCCAGCAGCGTGGCGTTATCAGAAATTAAACAGGCAGAAGTATTTGGGCGGTCTGCAAGTGCCCGGTGCTAGCAGATGGGGGGGGCTCATTTCCAGTTTTGCTATTCGATTTTTTTTTTCGTTCCTTTCCTACACGGTCCGTTTGTCCAGGCTCTCCTGGGGGTTGTCTTTCCGCCGGGGCTGGAGCTGCAATACCTCACCCCGTGCTCTCCGGCAGCTCCCTGTCCCCAGATCACCACGTTAGGTTTATTGCAAGCGCGCTTCAGTGCAGAAAGCAATTCACATTTTTCCCTGGGTGAGGCTTTCCAGTAAGTTAAATTTTACCTCTCTGCTTCCTTGAAATTAGCCATAAAATATATTTGTTCACCATCAGCGGCAATGTGATCTGCAGTGCAATGAAAGGATGAAAAGGAGGGCTTATTATCTGTACTGTTTTCCTGCTAATTACCAGCCATTCAGGATGTGTGATGACCCAAATGCTACAGTATTTCACAGCATCATGTTTAAAAAAACCATAAAGGATCATTGCTAAGCTGCCTTCTTGTGCTCACTGGAAGGCAAACGGCGCTGAATTAACACCGAGCAGCACTGGGGCTCTCTCTTTCTGTTGGTGCTGAACAGCATCCTGCAAGGAGCTCCCTGTAAACCTCTCCAGCCCCGGTTTTCTCTCTCCCAGCAGTCTTTCTGCTGGATAAGGATGTCAGCTGTTAAAGAGAATTTGCTCACCCCCCCATGTACTATGAGATTAATTTGCACTACGCACTCCTATGAAAACAAATGTCATGCTAGCTTCATGTAGCTGATTTTACTCTCCCCCTCTAAGGACAATATGTTCTCGAAATATCACTCTATACTTCTGGCTGAAATGGTGCCAAGATGCTTTATTCTTTTTCTTTTATTTCTTCCCCCGAGACAAGAGAACCAGTGCCACCAGTCTTGGTACTGCAAGGTACTTCCCAGGGGCCTATTCTTGGTAAACAAAAGCCACAAAAAAGAGATGCAAAAAAAAAAAAACCAACAATGATGTTGTTCAAATCCAAATTATTAAAATAATTTATATTATATATAAAATTTCCACTCCAACCCTTCCAACTGCTAAGCACAGGAGGAGCCTACCGCATTGCTTCCCAGCGTGGCTTTGTCACCACCATTAACCGAGAACAGTTTTCAGCCTTGCCTGGCTCCTGGGACAATCTGTCCACAGCAAATTCAGGGCACTGAAGGGAGGTTCGTGGTTCATCGGGCTGACACTGCAACCCATCGGGGGGCTGATCTCAAATTGAAAGCAGCTGGCTTGTGGCAGGGGTCGTGGAAAACACATCGCCCTGCTCAGAAAGTGCCCCCAGCCATACACCCAGAACAGCGCAGACTGATGCAACTCTGTGGGCTTTCCTCCCCCAGCTCCTTTCCCCAAATGCATCTCAGCTCTAAAAGGTCTTTTTGCAGAATATTTATGCAGAATATAAGCCGTTCTGCAGAATATTGGTGCTGGGTCTGGTATTTCACAGCCATGAAAGGCTGGGGAACCAAAGGAAGGTGAACCAAAGGCTGGGGAACCAAAGGGGGGTGAACCAAGGGTTGGTGAACCGAAGGGGGATGAACCAAATGTTGGTGAACCAAAGGAGAACCCATGCACCACTGGAGGTCCCCTCCGTGCCCCCCGGGGCTGTGCAGGACCCACGCAGCCCCTCGGCTTACCGGGTGCTCTCCTCCTGCAGGATGCCTGGAGCGATGCCAAGGGGCACCTCCACATGGACTCACAGCAGGACTACCAGCTCCTGGGGGCTCAGAGCGCCGCCGAGGGGCTCTACATCCTCTTCAGAAGAGCCTTCAGCACCTGTGACCCCAAGGACTACCTTATAGAGGTACGGCATCGCCCTCCCCCTAACTCCACAGCTCCAACCCCCAGCCTGCAGGTCAGACCTCGCCCCTGTTGTGTTTTTGGGATGGCACTGGCTGTTTGTGCTGCTCAGTGCAGTAAGGAAGCGTGCTACAGATGTCAGCCCCACGCCATGAGTAATGTTTGGCACCCTCTCTTTACAACCCCTTATAAGCCTCTCTAACGCGTAGATTTCGGCTCGTTTGCATCATCCACTTCTGGTAAGCGTGCGCTAGGTCTATATAAATACCCTCCTGCATCACTCGGGCTTGCAGCCGGGAGCCAAGTGTTTGGAGTGTTACGAAGAGGTGTTGCTCAACGGGAGGCAAAGAGGGGGGCTGCAGAAGCCCAGCGAAGGTGCAGCGAGTGGAGCCAGGGCTGCGTGCTTGTGAGCGCCTGGGTCTGCGAGGGGGCGGTGGAAACAGCCCCATTGGGGATGTCAAAGAGCTTCGGGGTCTCAGCCAAGGAGGGGCAGCCCCCAGGTGCAGGCAGGGATCTCCACGAGGCTCGTTTGGGATGAAATCCTCTGGGGGATGAGGTATTTGGAAGCCACCGTGTGCGCACAGCAACCTTGAGGTTTTGTTGCTAGTTTTCAGAGGCATGCCTTGCGGTGAGAGGTGGCTGCCAACACTCGGAGAGCCCCAGAGGAAAAAATATCCGTGTGTGTGAACTGGGGAAAGACTTGCAGGTCTTTATTCTTAGCCCTGGAGAGAAAATGACTCCCTTTTCCTTTCCTTCTTACCTCCTGTCCAGAGTTGAGTGCCTTCAGCTGCACCTTCCCTGCCTGCAGTGCTTGCAGCAGAGCCTCTCGCCCTGATGTCCTACCAGAAGCTGGCAGAAAGGGCCAGGGGGAGAAGTTTGGTTTCTGCTGCTCCCCCCCAAGCTGCTGCCCGGGGTCTGGATCCATGTGGCCACCCCAGCCCACAGCTCAGGAGGGCCAAGGGAGCAGAGAGGAGCCAATCCTTTAGGGGCAGGGGAGGGGTGCGAGGTTCTGATATTGACTTCTGTTGGAAACCTGTGCCATGTAGGGAGAGCTTTCCAGGCTCGTGGGCTGGTGGAGAACTCTCTGTGACCATCGCTCAGTGGTAAAACATGCTAGCCAAAGAAATTCCCCTAAATCTACAGGCACAGCACAGCAAAAGGAGATGCTGCTGAAGCCAGGATGGTTTCCCCTTTGGAAAGGGGCTAGGGCCTACTTCCAAATTCATGCCAGCAGTACCAGTCATCCATGAGATTTACATTTTCTGGTATCCTACACGCAAAACTACCTCCAGGCTTTGCTCTTGCTTCAGGACGGCACCGTGCACCTCATCTATGGGATCCTGGAGCAACCCGTCCGCTCCCTGCAAGCCATCAACATCTCTGCCATCCACAGGGGGCTGCAGAGGGTGCAGCTGCTGAAGCCCAACATCACCATCCCCGAGCTGCCCAGCGACATGAAGACCATGGAGATTACGGCCCCCGGTGTCGTTATCCCCAGCCAGGAGACGACCTACTGGTGTTACATGGCAGAGCTGCCAGACGGCTTCGCCAAGCACCACATCGTCATGGTAAGAGGCAGGAGAAGAGGTGAAAGAGGAGAAATGTTTTCCCCGGTGCATCTCAGCAGCTGCGTTCAGGTCCCTCAAAGCCGTTCTGCAAAGCCCACCTCTCCCCTGCCCTTTCACAGGGAGGGTTTCAGACCCAAATGCACTCCCCAGAGCACCAAAACACCTCCCTGAGCCAGCCCGCCAGGCAGCAGCACCCTCACATCCCTTAGAGAACCCGAATCTGGTGGCAGGTTGGTGACTTTGGCACACGAAACGGGGACTATGGTGACTTTCCTCCTGGCACACTGAAAGGGGACCAGGGCAGAGCTCAGAGCAGCTCCCTTGCAGAGGGCAGAGCTGCAGCCGTCAGGGGCAGGATTACGGCTCAGCACATGCTACGAGGAATAAATAAACAGGGCAAACAAATTAACAAGCCTGGCCAGGGCAGGGCAGAGCGAGCCAGAATGTGAACTGCCCTCTAACAGATCAGGCATATTGCAAAAAAAAAAAAAAAAAAAAAAGGAAAGGAAAAAAAAAAGGTCATAGAGATAGAAACAACTTGTGTGCAGATATATTGCACATGCTCAGCTCGTATCCTCGAGGGGGGCACAGACCTGTGGCAGCATCACCCCCAGCATGGCACGACCCGGCCCCCCCCCCGGGGCCAAAAACACCGAGCAGGGAGAGGGGAAGCCTGACACGGGAGCTGAAGCGAGCGCTCAGTGATTTGTAGGGGAGAGACGATGCTGCAAAGGAAAGCTCAGAAGGAGGATTTTCTCCCCAACAGATGGTGCGAAATGAATCATCTGTGTGTAAGTAAAAAGTGCGTAACTCCTGATATCTTCCCGCTGCTGCAGATCAGCTCTACAGCTGGCGCTTTTAGCCGGAGTCATTCCTCAGGCGTTTGAAGTCACTCTTTCTACCCAAATCCCCCCTGCCTGTGCCCAGAACAGCAGCTCCTGGCTGGGCATGAAACCCGAGAGCTGCAGGCAGTGGGGCCAGGACCCTCTTTGTGAGAAATCCAAGTTTTCTGAGCCCAAAAAAGGACTCGGTCACCATGAGGCAGCCCCAGCTCTGCTGCTCCTCAGGTGCCGCCACCTGCAGGGAAGGGACGAGGTGTTTCTCCACGAGCTCTGGTGGGCTCTGGGTTGGTCCCAAAGGGACCAACTTGGTCCTTGGTTCCTTGTGTCCAAAGCCACCCTCCCTCCTCCCCATCTCATGGCAAGAATCGAGGGCAGACTCACCCACGCCGGGCTGCACAAACAGCACGCTGGGGGCCGGGGGCTTGGCAAATGGTCCTGACGTGTCCCCTGCCTTCTTGGACGTCGCTTTGCAGTACGAGCCGGTGATCACGGCGGGCAACGAAGCCCTGGTGCACCACATGGAAGTCTTCCAGTGTGCCGCCGAGCTGGACAGCATCCCACCGTACAACGGACCCTGCGACGCCAAGATGAAGCCAGAGCAGCTCAACTACTGCCGGCACGTGCTTGCCGCCTGGGCCATGGGCGCACAGGTGAAAGATGGGATCCCCCCGCTCCTGGGTAACCCTCCTGCCATGTCCCAACCCTTCCCAGTCCCTTCTCGTAGGAACGGGTGCCTGAGCCATCCCTGCGTGGGCTGCTCCAACCCCAGCCTCTGCTAGGAGTTGGGTTCAGCCCCTTTTAACCCCCCCGATTTTTCCCCAAGACACCTCTGAATCTCCACCCCAGCCCATAAATCAATGTGACCCCCCTCCCCTAATGCTCTTGGCTCCCTAAATCGACTTGACACCCCCTCCCTTGATGCTCTCCCTCTGCTTCCAGGCTTTCTACTACCCCGAAGAAGCAGGGCTTGCCTTTGGTGGTCCGGGCTCCTCCAGATACCTGCGCCTTGAGGTTCACTATCACAACCCCCTGGTGTTCAAAGGTGAGTGGGGATGCTGGAGGATGCCAGCAGGCAGTGGGGTTTCACATCGGTCCTGCAGGGCTGTGACCCATGGCAAGCCCCATATTTAGGGGGGTTGCTGGTGGGTGCCCCCCGACATCTGTGGAAGGAGCTGTGGAGGGGCTGAGCTCAGAGCCAAGAGCAGCAGTGATGCCAAAGCCACCGGAGAGACAGCACCAGCCTGGCTGGGGATGGGGGGATTTGGATGTTGTTTTAATGGCATTCCTGCTTTGATAACGTTGTCAGGAGACACATTTAAAAAAAAAAAAAAAAAAAAAGGATTCCAAACAACACACTTTCTTCATTTACATAAAATCAAGTAACTTCTTGACTACCCAAGTGTATTTTTAGGAGACCGGAGCATATGCACTGTAGATCAATCATAGCACATTCGGCAACTTGAGAAGAAACACATCTATAAATACGGAGCTCACGTCTTTCATAACTTCCCAGCCTTGGTGTGTTAACCAATAGTGTCTCCCTCGGTATTCTTATCCCCTGGCGGGCTCCAGCTCAGAGACAGGGGGCTCAGCCCTGGCACCGCTCCTCTGGCCTGCCCGGGGCTCCCTCTGGCTCCCCCCAGCTGTGTGTGGGCACTGGGGGTTAAACAGAGCAACCTCAGATGCACAAGAGACCAGGAGCTTTGCAAATGCAAGGGGTGCTTGCTCCACCAGCATTTCCCCTCCTGCCAGGCCCCCAGGAAGAGCCTGGCTTTGTTTTTTTTGGAGGTATCAGTTAAAGAAGGTGCAATGAGCCACGTTTCTGAGTCTGCCAGAGCACCCTGAGACCTGTCCTGCTCTGGGCTCTCCAAAGGCACTCCTCGCCTTTGTGTCGGAGCAATTGGAGACCTCTCTGCGGGACCAACCCCTGCATGAAAATATCTAGGATTTTATGACAATAGGAATAGCACCCACAAAAAATCTGAGCAAGAAGCTTGAGTTCCCCTCCCCACACCTGTGGCAGCAGAGCATCCTTTTCCATGCCTGACCTTACCCAAGAGGCGTCAGCTCTCCCGCAGCGACTTGCCACCCCGTGTCCTTTTGCCTACCAGGGCGCCGTGATTCCTCGGGGATCCGCCTCTACTACACGGGCAGCCTGCGCCGCTACGATGCTGGCATCATGGAGCTGGGCTTGGTCTACACGCCGGTGATGGCCGTGCCCCCGGGCGAGACCGCCTTCGTCCTCACCGGGTACTGCACCGACAAGTGCACCCAGCGGGTGAGTGCCCAGCCCCTGGAGCCCCTTCCCTTGGGGTTGTGCTGGAAATAAAAAAAAACCACGCAAACCAGCAGCAAGTGGTCCTGAGCAGCTGGTTGGGATGAGCCGAGTTCCCCGTGAAGACAGAGCTGCTTGGAACCAGCTGCTCCGTCTCCCCCGAGTACCGTTGCCATCTAGGAAAACATACTGCTGTGCCGTGCCTGGGTGCTTTCCCCTATGGAAATGCGAAAGATTGGCTTCTGCTTCCTGGGGAGTTCCTTAAGAGCTCGCTCAAGTATGTTTTCAAACCGCCCACCCTGCTCTCAGGCAAGTTTTAGTAGGTATTTTTTATAGGGCCTACCCGAAAGAAGTTGTCGGTGCCACAAGCGCAAGGAAGCAAGCAGCATCCAGATCCTGCTGATTTGGGGCATGGCAGGGCATTAACTGGCTATGGCATCAGGCTGAGCATCTACCCCCCTGCACAGCTCACCTCTGGGCTGCCCTGAGGGTCCAGCAGCCCCCCAAAACCCTTCCAGGAGCCAGAGAGGACCCATCCCAAGTGCACGGCCCCGGGGACGCATGGGAGGGGAGAGGGATGGGGCCAGGCAAGGAGCTTGAATCCGTCCCTCCCCAGGCACTGCCTGCTGCTGGCATCCGCATCTTCGCCTCGCAGCTCCACACGCACCTGGCAGGGAGGAAAGTGGTGACGGTGCTGGCACGGGACGGCAGGGAGAGGCAGGTGGTGAACGCCGACGGCCACTACAGCCCTCACTTCCAGGTACGGCGCCATGCGGGCGGGTGGCACCCATGGGACACCCAGTCCCGTGGGCACAGATGGGTGCTGGGGCACGGCACCGCTCTGACCCGGTGCCTTTTTGTCCTCCCTCGCAGGAGATCCGCATGCTGAAGGAGCTGGTTGCAGTTTTTCCGGTGAGTGGCTCCAAAAATCGTGGCGCTTTCCAAACAGAGCGAGTATTTCCAAACAGACCCAGCATGTCCCAAGGGCTTGGATTCCTCTCCGCTGCTCCATCACTGCTGCTGCTGCTCGTGGTGTCCTGCTTGAAAACCTCAGCCCTGGCCAAGCCATCCCCGGGATGTGTCCTGGGGTGGCCCTGCAGGGGGACAGGCAGCCGTGGCACCACGTTGGGTACAAGCTGGGTGATGCAAAATGTCCCTAAGTGGATTTTTTTAAGGTGCTTTAGCCCGGAGGAAATTCTTAGGAAGTAAGAAAAGTAGGAAACACAATTCCTGGGGTATGGCCGGAGGGAATCTCCTGGGGGGTGCAAGCTGAGCAAGTGCTGGGGGGGCACTGAGGCTGCCTGTGGGCTTGCACAACCAAAGAGCATGGGGGTCTGTGGTGTTATGGATTCACACATCCCAATATTTGGTGACTGGGGAGGGGGAACTTTGCCCTTTCCCACCCCCCTGTGTCTGTTTGAACCCCCCCCAGGGTGATGAACTCATCACAGCCTGCACCTACAACACGGAGGACAGGACCAAAGTGACCGTGGTGAGTGCGGCTGCGCGCACACCGCGGGGTCAGCAACTGCACCCCGAGGTGCAGGCAAGGCGGGGGGGGGGGACACGTGCATGGATTGGGGCTGAATCACAGCCCCCAAGGATGGGATGCTGCAGCTGGGATGCCAAGGTGTTAATTGAGAAGTGGTGCCTGCCTCTCTAACTCCCATCACCAACCCTTCCGCTGGGTATTAATTGTAATTAAAGAGAAGCGGCGTTTTTTTGACAGCGTGCGTTATTCCCTTACATAGGCAGCAAAAAAAAAATAATAAAGGAGCCTGTCAGAGGTACCGTCAACAGGGACGAAGCTAAATATAGCGGAGGGATTACAGGGAATCTGCATTTTAATGTAAACCACACGTTGCAGCCTGAAAGCCTGTCCTTGCGCAAAGGGCGGGTGGGCAGATGAGCTGAGTGCGTGTGGTGGCGTGTGTGCACGTAACAGGGGGGGGGAAATCTGTGCTCACAACCCCTTTCTGCCCCTCCTGCTGCCCCTGTGGGTCCGGCAGCACTGAGCTGGACCCGGACACGGCTGAAGTTTGGGGAGAAAATTTGGGGCTGCTGCCCGGTGCCGCCCCCCAACCTACCCATGTGTGTGTGTGCCGCAGGGCGGGTTTGGCATCATGGAGGAGATGTGCGTGAACTACGTGCACTACTACCCCCAGACCCAGCTGGAGCTCTGCAAAAGCGCCGTAGATCCCGGCTACCTGCACCGCTACTTCAGCCTCGTCAACAGGTAGAGGTTTGCTGTGCAAAGGGGAGAGGGGCTGCTGCCCAGCCCTTTGCTGGCAATGCTGGAAAAAAAAAAAAAAGTTATAAAAATGGGTTTTCGGGCGCTGGATATGCAGTGGTGGTGCCCGGGGCTCTCAGGGGGTGTGGGTTTTGGGGAGCCATGTGCTGGGGCACGGCTGGAAGGAGTCCTGCCCTCATCATCCCCCAGAGCAGGCACCAGATCAGGGCTGTTAAGGCTGGAGGTAGGGAGGATCGCAAGGAAAAGGAGACCTTTCTGGGCGTGGGACTTCCCTGCAGGGCCCCGTGCAAGGCAGTTCTGTCTGCAAAATACATTTTATAAGCCCAGGAAGGCACCAACCACCCTGCTGGAGAAGCAGGTGGCAGCTCATCTGCCCCTGGTGAGAGGGTGAGGTGCTGACCTTGCACAGGGTGTCCTAGGCTCAGGCACATCAGGTGGCCCTGAGTCTTCTCCGGAAGGTGCCAGCCACAGCAGGGGTTTCTGCTGCCACGTGCAGAGTCTGCAGCCTTCCTGGGTCCAGCTTCAGGCCGGGAGGAACGCGGCACCTCCAGCCCCCCTGGCTGCCTTTCAGCCTGGCATCTCTCCTGCGCAGGTTCAACGACGAGGAGGTCTGCACGTGCCCGCAGGTCTCCGTCCCGCAGCAGTTTTCCTCCATCCCCTGGAACGCCTTCAACAGAGACGTGTTAAAATCCCTCTATGGCTTCGCCCCCATCTCCATGCACTGCAACAAATCCACGGCCGTCCGCTTCCCGGTACGTACAGCTTCACCACCCAGGGCTGACGTGCTTCATGGCAAACCTCCAGGCCAGGGCTAAAACCTCCTCGATCGGCTCCTCAAAGGGCTGGGGACGTGGCTGCACCCCGTGGCCCTAAAGCAGGGAGCTGGAGCTGCCCAGGGAACCCCGGCACCAGCAGCACTCAGAGCCCCGTGCCCCAGCCGCCGGCACGCTGGGTGCGCTCGGGTGGATTCAATTAGAGGATGTGCATTTGCATAAAGCGATTTACTGACATCTTGGAGCAGCCCCGAGCGTTAAAACAGGGCTATCTGCAGCAGCAAGGAGAACTGTGAGGCGATTTTACAGGATTTGGGCCAATTACGTCAGGTCCCAGCAGAGCAAGCTCATTACGCACCGCATCTGTGCAATCTCCAAACCTGGAGCTACAGCAAGGCAAGAAGGATAAAGGACCACAGGAGCTTAAAAAACAAAACAAAAACACAAACAAAAGCCAGGCCCAGTGATGATGCTCATGACATTGATGATGATGAAGATTTAAAGCCACTGATGGTCCCTATCACCATCGCTTCCTGATGCCATTCATCAGTGTAATGAGCTTCTGTGATAAGGCATTTTGTGCTGCCCACTGCAGTGCTGGAGGCCGCTGAGCTGATGGCGAGGAAGACAACCAGCCTTCCGCCCAGGTAAATCCCCTCCAGCCAGGTCAGCCCCAGGGGGGAGCAGGATCCTTCCCCTGCCAGCCCTGAGCCAGCCCGGCACCGGAGACCCTCACCTCTCGGCCGTGCAGAGCCTGGAACAGCGACAAAGGAGGCTCGGAAGTTTTGTGCAGCAGCAGAATTATGAATTAAGCCTCTTAATCACAGCCCTGGCAACTGTGCGAGCTCAGAGAGGGCCGGGGGCGGCTGGGAAGAGGCTGGCGGGGAGCAGAGGCGATGCTGGCACGCAGCGAGGGGAGCAGGGAGCTGAGCTCCCCCCCCTGCTCTCTCGGTGCGTTCGGAGCGAGCTGGATTTCAAGACATCTCATTTATTCCGCAGCATTTCTGCCAAGAGAAAAGCACCAGCTTCTAATTAAGCGCACGCATTTCTGCAGTTCAGTGATCCCAGTCCTGCCTCGCTCCCCGCAAGGACGTGGTGCTGTTAATTATTTAGCAAGCCCCTTCTCGCACCGAGGTGGCACTGTGAGCGTGGTGGGATGTCACCGTGCCAATTCCGCAGGATCCCAGCTCTCTCCCAGCACCAAACCCAGCCCCACCAAATGCCCCCAATGCCCTCCCCAAGGGCTGGGGGAGATCTGCAGGGCACAGGGCAGACCCCAGCAGCTAGGCTCAAGGGCAGGCACAGCCCCAAGCCCCCAGCAGCTCTCCTAAGCCTTGAGGTTGCAGATAAAGCACTTGGTTCTCCAGCTGGTGCCTTCCTGCCCCTCTCTGATTACTTTGGGAGGGGCTCTCCGCCCCCTCCACCCTTCCCAAGGTTTTCAGGTGCAGGTGCGAGCTCTGGCCTGATTTGCTTCGCGCACTCCAAAGAATTTCATCTGAAAAGATGAATCCAACTTTCTTCCCCCTGCTGATGACTCACGGCCCTACCTCTCGTCTCCAGCCCGCCCTCCTCCCGCTCCTGCTGTAGCTCTGCCCGTCTCTGACACTTCTGCATGAGCAAACAGACGGGAGCCCAGCCTGGCCTGAGCTCCCCCTGCCCCTCATGGGACCACCGAGTCATATAAGAGATGAATCCAGCCCTGCAGCCTCAGCCCTTTGCATGATCTAACCCCAGAAAATTGCTCCTTGCAGGCAGAACCTGGAGGGTTCGTGCTGCCCGTGGTCACCTCGCCCCGCTGGCCGTGCCAGCCCCTCCTCGGCTGCCACCTCCAGCAGCAGCTGCGCACCGGGAACGGCGCTGGCACCTTGCAAATGTCACCTCCGAGCCCAGCTCCCTGCCAGCAGCTGGCAGGCAGCCTGGGCTGAGAGCACGGCAGGCTGCTGGGGCTCAGGGCTCGGAGCTGTCTCGGGGTGACTCGGTGGGGAACGCATTTTTGGGGTGGGAGCTCCCCGACGGCAGCGGCTTCGTGCACTATGGTGCAGCGCGGACATCTGCGCCGCTGCTGGGACGCGTGGGCGCTCCGACAAGATAACTAATTGGTGACGTCTCATGGGAAAACATCCTGCTTCGGGTTCAAAACACTTCCCAGCGTTAAAGATCGCACCATTTTTAACACGCGTGGAGGAACACGGAGCGGCCGGGTGCCCGAAAGCCTCGGTCTCACCGTGCCCAACTCTCTTTGCAGGGCGAGTGGGAGAAGCAGCCGCTTCCCAGCATCACCGAGACGCTGCGGGAGCCCGTTCCTCACTGCCCGCCCGCCCCAGGGCCTCATCCTGCCGCCTCCGTGCCCATCAAGCTGGGGGAGATCAAGAGGGTCTGAGCCGATTCCTGGTCCCCCTTGGCGTGCCGGCACCGTGATGGGATGCGCCTCTGCCCGGCGGTGGCACGGGTGGCCACGGGGAGCCTCGTCCCATCACTCCCCCCATCCCTGCCTCTACCCAGGGGGGTTTAGGGCTCATCCCTAGCGGTTCAGAAAGTACTCCGGGGATGGGAAGCGCTATATTTAGTGCGTTATTAGCAAGCCCGGCTCTGAGTAATGCTGCTTTCCGCCCCCAGAATAATAACCGGGAGGTTTGCTATTGTGCCAAACCCAGCGCAGCCCCGGGGAGAAGGTGGAGGGGGGGGGGGGGAGAAGCCTTGCTTCCCCGCAGGGAAACTGAGGCACGGAGCACAGAGCAGCGTGGGAGCAGCACACGAGCCTTCCTGGAGCCCTGCGGGCCCGTCTCATTCGGGGTGGCTCTGCGGGGGCTCCCCCACACTGACACCCCCAGGGGGGACGGAGGGAAGGGGGGGAAGGATGCCGCCCGCCGCAGCCCCCCCGTGCCGAGGATTATTCGCCTCGACGCGACCAGATGCCAATAGATGGGAGCAAACGACACTTGTGTGATGGGGTTTCGACAGGGAGAGTGATGGGGGGGGGAGGGAAACGGGGGAAAGACAAACCTTTGGCAGGAAAAACGACTCCGTTCAATACCTAGGTGTGAAATAAAAAGGAAAAAGGATGCTTTCTGCTGTCGAGCTGTGAAGGGAGAACACTTGCTTGGACCAGAGGAAGGGCCCAGGGTGTGCAGGAGGGCCCGTCCATCCCAGCCAGCCCCTGCCCATGCCCTCTGTCACATCCACAGGCTCCCCTTGCAGGGACCTGACTTGCTCGGTGCATCCCAGACAAAGGCTGGAGCTGCCCTGCCTGCCCCTGCTCCCCGGTGCCAGCGGTCTCCTGCCATTTCGGGCACATTCTCCACAGAGAATACAACCCTACGCAGCTCATAGGGTGAAAGCTGTGGGTTCTTGCAGGAAGATAAGGCTGTATTCCCCCAGCAGACATGTGGTTAATCCTGGCACAGGGGGAGGCATCGCCACGCAGCCAGCACAAACCTCATTTATTAGGACAGCCGGCCAGGAGCGCGGCCACCCCCCCTCTGCCTTCCAGCTTGAGAGCACCAGGGAGCGCAATCGCCTCCTGTTGAGAGACAAACTCACCCCGGTTTGGTTTTTTTTTAATGTTTCTAGTGAAACCAAAGCGTTTGGGAGTTCAAACTCTCGCCCGTGGCGCTTGTTGCGCCAGGCGAAGGAACCGAAATGGGTTCTCAAGAGAACAGAAAACAAGCGAACCCAGTCGGAGGGAACGAAATGAAAAGATGCCGCGGGATTATTTCTTCAGGCGGGAGAAAGCTGCACTGGAGACGAGGCTCTCCCTGTGCTGAGGAGGATGGAGCCCCAGTCCCTGGCTGCCTGCGCTCGTTTGTGATTAAAAGAGGCCGGGGGGAGATGGGGAGGGAGCTCCGCAGCCATGGGGGGCTCCGCGTGCAGGGCTCAGCCACGGGGCCAACAAAGGGACCGTAGACCTGTCCCGTCCTGCTCCCCCTGAGGACAGCCAGGGGGGTTTCCAGACACCTCCAAAGCCAGCTCTGTGCTGGCAGGGTCTCCCTGGCAGCTGGGAGCTGCTGGAGCCACCTCCAAGGTGACCTTGGGATGATGGCAGCAGAGCAGAGGGGATGGCAGAGCAGCCCTGGTGCCAGAGCCCTGCACGGCCAGCACATGGCACAGCACTGAGAGGAACAGCCCAGAGGGGACACGGGCAAAAACCACACCGGGAAAGCAGCCACGGGCCAAAACATGTCTCAAATTCCTTCTCCTCCAGGCTCAGAGGATGCACATATACACACACACACAGCAAGGGACCCAGACCCAAACAGCAATCGCCTTTGGGGTTTTCTTTTATTCCTTGGGGGCAGGAGATGAGAATCTGCCTGCAGCTCAGTGCTGAGGGGCTGCATAGCCCCGCTGTGCTTTCTTCTTTTCAAAAGCAGAGCGCTGGCACAGGCTGGCAGCGCTCCCCAGGGCACCAAGTGCTCTCCCATTCCAGGATCCACAGCAAAAAAAAAAATGAAACTTGCCTTTGCTCTTGCGTTGCAGCAAAAGGAAAAGGTCACTGCCTGGGTCTGGGGAATGTCAGCCCTCCCAGCCTCCTGCCACACGCCCCAAAATGGCCCTCCAGCACCACAAACAAAACCCGAGCAAGCACCGAAAGGTTAGGATCCCCAGGCTTTGCTTTTAACAGGAGCTAGGTGGCAATTACCAACCGATGGATGTCGGTGCTTAAAATCCCTTTGGATTTCATGATTTGATGTTGCAGAGGAATCCTGCAGTGGGATCCCCGGTGGGAGCCTGGGCAATGGCCCTGTGCCCCCCGCCCCATCCCAGGGGAGATGCTGAGGGATTCCTGCCTGTCCCGTGCTGCTGATCCCAACCCCCCGACTCACCCCACAGCCAATTTCCAGCAGCACGGTTGTGACTTGCTGGGAAACGCCCCCAAAAAACCATGCGAGAGCCCAAGGGGCAGAGCCAGCCCCATGCCCTGCTGCGCCCCCAGCAGTGGGTCCCCAGGGCACAGCCACGACGCGGTGACAATTGTCAGAGCGGGGACAAGAGCAGCAAGAACACAGAGGAACATCAAATTTGGAGGCGACAGTCATATTAACGGCAGAGAGAGAGTTTAAAAAATTCATTTCCGTGCAGCATGAAACTACATTTTGGGGGAAAGGGTTTCCAGCAAAGTCAAAAATTGAAACCGTTTCATTTGCAGTCAAGCACAACACTGTTTTCAGGTCAATTAACCCACGGGAAAGAACTATTGCTCTAGTGGTATTGCTTCATTTAGGAAACCTGGGAACAAAATTGTTGGGCTCTTTGGAATCTCTTCCATTCCTTCCCCTTTAACCTGGACCAAATCTGCTCGATGAGTTCACTGCAGGTGTTTGCCCGGCTCTCCCTGCTGGGGCAGCCGGGTCTGGGGATTTGGTGGGTAGCTCCAAAGGGCTCTCTCCTTCCACATCCCCATCCCGGTGTCCTTCAGTAAATTCCCTTCACTCGCTTGTTCTCCGGGTCAAACGGGGACTTGGTGTGTGCTCGGGCCGGGTAGCTCACCCCCATCCTCTCCAGCTGGTAGCTGCCGCTCTTCACAAAATCCAGCGAGACCTGCGGGGCAGAGCCACACCAAACCCCTCCATTACGCACTGCGAGGTGCTGGGAGGCAGCAGACCCCCCCTGCCACCCCCCTGACCCCACTACTGGGCTCTCCCTGAGCTGGGAGACGCTCCCCCCCCACTCTTCAGCTGTGCTTTCTGCAGAAAACCCAGCTCTGCCATCCCAGGAGGATGCATGGAGAGGAGGAAAACAGATTTTTAAAAGCACTGAGCTAAAAAATAAATAAATAAAAAGAATTCAGTCTTTCTGTCCTTTTTTTTTTTTTTCCTGTGGATTTTTTTTCACCAGCATCCAATGCAGAGTGCGCTTAGGAGCTCGAGTTCATCACGGGGTGGGTGGCAGGGGGATGGCACACCCGAGTGGGGTCAGTCCCCGCTGTCCCCCAGCTGGGCACTGGCTGCAGGAGGAGACCGTGGTGGCAGCCAGGATGTCCCTGCTGCTGTGACAAGCCCGAGGTGTCCCTCCTGCAGCACCAGGCAGTGCCGGTGCCCGAGACACCCCAATTGAGGGCAGGGTCCTGGTGCAGCTCCTGCTCCCCTCCCACACAGCCAGCCCCTGCCGTCACAGTGTAAATCAAGCGGGAGTTATCGCAGGGAGCAGAGAGATTAAGGCTGCACGTTAACATCTGCTTAATGAGCGCTGCTTCCCGCGGGCACAACGGAGCTGCCAGGGCTGGGGCCCCGCAGCGCAGCCCCCTGCACGCAGAACTGCTCCCCGTGGCACCGAGAGCTGCCGGCCCCACTGCTGGCCCTACTGCTGGCCCTAGAGGTTTCCCCATGGCAAGTGCCCGAGCAGGGAGAAGCACTCAACGTGCCCAGTGGGATGCGCTCAGCACCGCTCTGCTGCCTCGCCGCAGGCAGGAGGGGACCGTCCCCGTGCCACCTCCATCCCACCGCCTCCGTCACGCTGCCTGGGGCAGGCGGGGGCGGCCGGGAGAGCGAGATGTGGCAGGGAGAGAGTGGGAAAAGAAAGGAAAGGAGAAAGCCAGATGTAGGGGAAAGCATTCGCCGTGGTGGGAGGGGGGCACCGGCTGCAGACCCCGCTGCAGCACCCAGCTGGAGCCTGCTGCCACCTCCCAGCCTTAGAGGGCACCTGCCTTCCCCACAGGGACAGCCTGACCCCCCTAAATGCTCACTGAAGCCCTCCTGCACAGCTCCCCATAAGGAATTGAGCAGCCCCAAGTCCTGCGCTCCCCTCAGTGCATGTCCCTGTCCCCGTCCCTGACTTGTGCTGAAGCAGGGAGATGAGGGAGGGTCCCCCTGGGGGGGCTTCAGATACCCCTCCAACCCCACACTGCTCGACTCAGGAGCCTCGCGCTGACACAGGATTAAAAATCAAAGCAAGCCAGAGGATTAAAGCACAAACATATGTGCTGCAACAGGGACAGCCCCCGGGGACGTCACCCTGAGCCCTCTGTCCCCACGCAGGCTCCCTGACCTCTGTCCGCAGCACGCCGCTTAATGAGGGCACCTCATTTACACCCCAGGAGTCTCGCGGGGTTAATTGAGAGCCCGCTGCACTCCTACTGGGCAGTCGATCCCCGTAAAATAACTTAATTCACCGCTGCAATTAAATACTCGCTTGCAATTATCATCTGAGAGCACACGGGGGCCAGGCGGGGTGGCAGCCGGGACGTCACCGGCGAGGACATCGCCGCCCCGAGCCGTGGCATCGCTCGCCCCCGCGTCTCATGCTGCTGTCGCTTCGGGGGGGGGCACAGGGGGTGCCCCGTCTCGCACCCCATCTGATGGCAATGTGCTCATGCATATGGCTTCAAGCAGAAGCTCTGCGCTTCCCCTGCCAACCCTGGGGTGCAGGGGCAGGCGGTGCCGCCGCCCGTACTCACGGGTCCCCCCGCGGGGTCGCGGATGTAGCCATAGGCGATGGTTTTGTCGATGGCGAACCCAAAGTCTGCCCGGCGGATGTGGCCGACCACCTGGCCGTCCCTCCAGATGGCCTCCAGGCCAAACATCGGCACCTTCCTGCGGGGCCAGAGCAGAGAAAACATTGGGAAAAATCCCGGTTGGGAGCCCACAGGCCAGGGGGAAAGGGCTGGAGGAGAAGCCCATGAGCTGGGGATCCCCCCTGGCACAGGGGCTGCTGCCCCACCGCCCCCCCATTCCTCCACCAAGGCCCCTCCAGCCCGAATTGCAAAGCCTCCCCCCTCCCTGTCGCAGCGCTCCCAGCTTCCATTAACTACCGAGCGGGGAATACGTGGTGGGATTTAAATTAGAGATGTAATTAGAGCACGGAAAACAGCCGAGCGAGCTGGCAGCCGAGCTCTGTGTGTGCTCACGGGGTGCGGGGGCTGGATGGGGAGCGCTGCGGGTGCTCATCCTGCCACGTGTGGTGCCGAGCAGTGAGGAGCTGCCCCGAGCGGCCGTACTCACTCGTCGGTGGTGAAGCAGACGAGGCGGCGGAAGATGCCCGAGGATTTTTGGGCTTCCACAGCCTCCCGGCCCAGGAAGGGGATGCCGGACTTGAGCTTGCAGGTGAAAGCCAAGCCTGCTTCTAGCGGGGTGTCGTCGGGGCGCAGGTCTGCATGCCAGTGTCTGTACCCTGCCAAAACCAAGCGTGGGTCTCCCTGCCTTGTCAGCAAGCCTGGGGTGAGCAATTTGGGAGACCAAGCCACCAGCCCTGCCTGTTGGCCACCCCTTGGGTCACTTGGCCTTGGGCAAAGCACCCTCGAGAGGAGCCCACAGGTGGGGAAGTCTCAGCAGCACGGCGCCAGCTGCACCCCAAAGCTGGGCAAACCCCATTTGCCTGGGTTGCCGAGACAGAGGCAGAGCAGGAGGAAAGGGAAAGCCCCAAACCTTTCTCGATGCTGAGGCTGTCGATGGCTCTGTAGCCAGCGTTGGCGATGCCGTGCCGGGCACCCGCCTGCATCACCGCCTGGTACACTCTGACGCAGTCTGCCCGGGGCACGTGCAGCTCCCAGCCCATCTCACCAACAAACGACAGCCTCATGGCACGGACCTGAAAAGCACAAAACCCCCAAATCCAAGGCTGCTTGAGCCCCCTAGCCGGCCTCGCCACCCACCAGGGTGAAAGCCAGCTTGGCCGGCAGCGTTGCACTCATCCTGATTTCGTGCAAGGCTTTTCTTTGCTCTGTCTTTGTGCCACGTTCAGAGTGAATTTCTCATCGCTGGACAAGCAAAGCTGCGCAGCTCAAAACCACAGCTAAGAGGCAAGTGAGCCCAGAGATTGAGTCTCCCTCGGTGCCCCCCTGCTTGGTGCTGTCACTGGGGTCCCTGGGGGACACAGGGGTTGTGGTGCTGCACCCTGCAGCCAGCCGTCCCTGTGGTCAGGCTGCGGTCAGCAGCGATGCTCCCCACACCAGCCAGGCCTTTGTCTCCCTCTGCTGATCCAGCTACACCGGAGGAAAGCCCGCGGGCACCACTTACGCTGCATCTCCCCAAATCTTCTGTATTGCCTGTTGGCAGGGAGACATGTCCCCAGCGGGACTTCGGGGCTGTTGTCCCCCAGGGATGTGTCCCGCTCCAGGCACTCAACAGCTGCATGCTGTCACCCAGGGGCTGAGCCCAGAGTCCCCATCTGCGCCCTGTTCACCCCATGGGGCTGCTCAAGTTCCCCCTGCAGACACGGTGCCCCAGAGCAGTACTCCTGGCAGCCCTATTAGCCAGACACTGAATGCACCAAACCCCAAAGAGGAATGAGAAGATGAGCACAGCTTGGTGCTCCTCGGAGCTCTCCCTCCCTCCCTGCCTGTGCTCCCCAGGGACAGAGGAGCCTGGGGCAACACCGTGATGTCCTGGCCCTGCTGATACCCCCACTTCTCTCCCAGGCAGGCAGAGATGTGCCCTGCATTGTGCCATCCCATAGCCCCATCAAGCTCCTCTGCGCTCCCAACGCTCCCCAGGCTGCTTGGGGCCACCCCAGCTTGGGGACATCCCCTGGAGACACCCCTGGAGGCTCAGCTCTATTTCCCTCTGGTTCATCCCTTTGGATTCATGGCTTTTTTTTTTTTTTTTTTTTTTTTTTGACGGGGTGGAAGCAGAGAACTCTCCAGCCCTCCAGGGAAATGTGGGTGCCAGCCACTCGGTTGGCACAGCCCGGGGTGGGGAGGCGAGGGCCGGGCTCCGCTTCTCCTGCGGGTTTCCGCCAACGTCTCCTGGGAGCAGGCGTTCCTGGTAGGTTTCAAACGGAGCTATGAAATAGCATCAATTTCGGAGCCTTTGAGCAGCAATTCAAAAGCATTTAAGTATTCTAGAAAATGAAAACCTGAGCTTTACC